GGGGGGTGTGGAGGGGTGGGGGGGGGGGGGGGATTGGGGAATGCGACCATGTTTAATGTTACACCCTAAATTTGGGTGAGCAAGGAACACTGCCTTAAAGGTGGAATGTGCCATTAAGGCAAACACTGCCATAAAGCAAAGAACACTCACTCACTGTAAATACCCATTCTGTCCCTTTAACCCTACATTTCACTGAGTATTTATTGAATAAAACGACGGAGGTAGCAACATGTACTTGCAGTTCAGTTTTGAAAAAGATGTAATTTGACCTTAAAGTGAACCTGTGAGCAGACTATGGACATTAAAATATTTAAATGTTTAGGAAGCAGCAAAAGTGCTTTAAAACAAGTCCTCACTGACCTCTGGAGGTGCAGCCACTGGTGAACACTTCATCCTCAAGGCTCATAACAGCAGCACTGAAGTTGTTTCCTGTCTTTTTCTGAACAGCTTGCATCATCTTCTGTTTGTTTACATTAGAATACTTGTAGGCTGTGCAGTCCTTACTGGGAGAGGAGCTGTGATTTCAGTGTCTATGTTGTGTGGATGAATTTCTCCACAGTGCCTGCAGCTACAGAGGTCAGTGAGGGCTTGTTTAAAGCAGAGTATTTAAATACTTAATTGTCCATTGCCTGGCCACTGGTTTACTTTAATGAAGATTTACAGTATGCTTTTATGTCCTTTAAATGAGATGTGGGGGCTCTAGGTTGTCATACAGACATACAAGTCTTTATTTTACAGTTTGGCCTTTTCTGAAACAAACAAGAAATATACCAACGTGCTGTGGTTTGTGTTTTGACAGGATAATGAACTCTGACTACTCTCTTCTACAAGCCAGGGAAGAGGATGGAGTCAAATACGAGCGCTCCTTTGTGGCCTCGGAGATTGTTAATTGGTTGATCCAAGAACAAGAGGCCAAGTCCAGGAGTGAGGCGGAGCAGCTGTGTCGCCGTCTTCTGGAACACGCCATAATACAGCACGGTAAGCATCTTGTTTATTTTGCATAGGGCCGGTCACCTCACTGCTCTGTTACTGCACTATTAAACGGTTGAATGAAGTGGGCATTCTACTGCCACAAGCAGTCCATCTAAGTCCATTCATATGGTGGGCTGTCTTATACAAACTTGGTTGGTTCCGATTAGAACAGTTTCTGTGGTTGACTAAAATGGCAGTTATGTGGCTCACAAAAAAATGTGTGTAACTGTCATTATAATAGGACACAGATATCAAGGGATCTATTCCGGGATATATTCCATACATAGGATACTTATATAATTTTTTTTAAAGTGTAAAAACGATAGTGGAGATCACTATTTGCTGGACACCACAGGGTTTTGCAACACTGCAAATGCATTGTACAAGCCATTTATAAAATGCCGACCACAGTGTGACATCTTTGGTGTCCCATGGAGGTCTCCCTGCAGAACTTTGCAGAAAGCACCTTGTGATTGGAGGAGACGCCAGTCAATGACATTCATAGGTCACATAATATCATGACTGGCCTCTCCTCCAATCACAAGGTGCTTTCTTCAAATTCATTTATTTGAGTCCCGAAACAAGTGAATTGCTGCAGTTTTGTAATGCACACCATTGTGCCTAATACATCCTGCCTAAATTAACCCTTTATGCTTGTGCAATACGGACCTCAGGTTGTAAGTTCCTTGAGGGCAGAGACTGATGTGAATGTGCAATATGGCACTTTATATTTGCCTGATGAAGGGACCTCTTTGGTTCCGAAACGTTGCATGGAAATGCTCCACCATTTAGTCAATAAATAGATTGACTCGAAGCTACATTGGAGTGCAGGTGACTTTTTTAATTGGTTTATTGTTATCTGTGGAGGCGTCTGCTGTCACTGCCGCATTCACCCTGTGCTTGGGGAACTTTTTTTCCGGTCAGGAGTGCGATGGGACATTTTGGATTCTGTGCAGTATGTAAAGCGCTGCGTAAATTGTCAGCTCTATAAAAATACCTGTAATAAATAATAATAATAATGAATATATGTTTTTGTTTTGTTTAACTCATTGCTTACAGGAGCTGGCGTGTTAAGGGCATCTAAATGCCGCAGCTTACTTCTGGGCTTCCTGATCATGTGATCACTGTAGTTGGTTGTCACAGTGGTCATGTGATTGGGGACCCATCTTACTGCTCCCAATCTTAAACTGTGACTGGGAGTTGTCTGTGGCAGCTCAGTGACAGTGGTGGGAGGGGTGCACGATTGAGCACAGAACAGTGAAGATGTGTGTGTGTGTGTGTATATAATGTCAGCATGCCTTTAAATCCACTGTCGCGGGTGGCTGGAAGGTATTAAAGCAGTGGTAAGACCACAGTACGGTTATACCTCACGGTAAGGCTATTCTCTTTCTGTATAAGTGGGCTCTAATTGCCGCCTTCTGTGGTTTTGCTTCCCTCCATCGCTGCTTGTGAGGGAGCAGCGATGGAGCAGTGTGGCTCCCTCACAAGCAATTCAGATTGTGATGCATATTGGGAATCAAGGGAGCACACCCATTGGGTAGAGTTGCTTTGGTACCTAAGCAAGGACTTGTGAGGCTCTTGACTTGTTTCAATTACATCCGTCTGAGACTCTTGAGATCATGGAGAATTCGATGACTGGTGCATTTAACCTGCAGTTGATCTTCTCCTGACCTGCTTGCGATCCTGTTCACACGACGGCGTGCATGCACTACTTTTTTTCACTGCACCATGTAATGCAGTGGTGTTTTATTGTGCCATTCAAATGAATGGCCAGAAGAATGGTCATACTGAGACTGATGAAGGGGACCCTGCATGGCCCTGAAATGTCGTTATTGTGACAATATGCGTCAATAAAAGATGCTTTTGGACATATCTCTCCGGTGTGCTGGTGACATCTAGCTTCCTCATTCAAATAAATGGCAACACAACACATCTGGAGCACAGTACCGTACCTTAGGCTTGCTGTGTGATAGTGTGCATTAAATACCATGGCATGAACGGGCCCTCAAGTAACTTTTGTATCTTCATGGACTTGTATGGGAATGCAAAACCCACTTGAAGCCGTTGACAGAGACTCTAATTCTCCAGAATCAACACATTAACACTTGCAATAAAAGAACTTTGTGAAAAGATTTGTGTGGTGACATTTCTGGAGAACCAATCAGCTGGTTCAGGAGCCAAAGTTTAACTTGCGTTGTATTCCCTTCCTGTGTTATGCGTGCCTGTTTTTTCCCCAAGTCCCAGCGTTCGCTGCATAGCTAAAAGTGTGACATGGAAAGACTTAATGACTCAGTCTCCTAGGAGGGATTCTTTCCTTTTTATCCTCATAAGCTTGACGTGTCTGCTTTGTAGCAAAACCTGATTTGTTTTCCTTTGTGCTAAGCTTAGCTCAGCTCTAGTCTCTGATGGCTCTCCTATGCTTTGAGTCAGATTGTTCCCTTCTCTGTGCATGCCTTGTAGAAATTGAGGTCAGCATTATTTTGACGTGCTGTAATTGATGATTGCAAAACCTTATTCGTTACCCATACTCTGTACAGCTAAGAGGTCTATTAGCTGTCTATTAGCTTGTAGTCTGATGTATCACAAACTGGCGCAATCTCAGGTTTAGCACGCTAATTTGCATTGAGATTGTAGTCCATCACGGGAGTGAGCTTGGAGCGGTGGCTACTTTACAACACACACAGGGGCCATGGGGAACAAAAGTAGCCCCCCTCCAGAAGGAAGGACAGTGTCAGCACCAGTTCAGAGATGATTTGAGGATCAACAGCCGAGTGATACACAAATAAGATAGGGGGGAATCTATCAAAACTGGAGCAGACAGAATCTGGAGCAGTTGCCTATGGCAAACAATAAGCACCTCTCTTCAATTTGCTCAGGTAAGCTTCGAAAATGAGACAGAGACGCCGATTGCTTGCAGTGCAAATCTGCTCCAGATTTTGTCTGCTCCAGTACTGATACATTCCCCCCATTGTTAACAGTTAAAGGGGTTCTAAACCTTCCCGTTTTTTTGCCTATATCTACTGCTATCAAGAAATCGAGAAAACGAAACTGCTCGGGTGGCCGCAAAGCATCTTGGGGCGGGCGCATGCACAGTTCGGATTCTCGGCCGGGAGACGAGCAGAGACGCAAGGTAGGTCTATGGACGCGTGCACCCGCATGCAGACACCGCTGGATCGGAAGTGCCAGCAAGCAGAGAGGAGTCAGCGCTGGATCGGAGAGCCGCCGCACCGCTGGAGGGACAGATGAAAACATCAGGAAAGAAGAAGATCGGATTAAGAGACATCATTTAAGGTAAGTGCTGACATTAACATTGGGGGGGAGGGAAAAAAAGTTTCCTTTTAATGTCACTTTAAGGCACTTGAATGCATTTTTAAGCTTATATCCCGAGTTCAGTATTACTTCAAGGCAGCAGTCATAACTAATAACAAAAGCTTACTTTATGTGGTTTAGCTTAAAGAGGGTAAAACATTCCAAAAACTATTGCAGCCACTGCATCAAAGGACTAGTAAGCTGTAATGTATTAAATGTTAAGCTGATTGGCTGAAGTCACTGTTTGGCCAAAAATGATCAATTCAGTATTTAAATTTTGTCGATCCAGCAGGCCCACCCACTGTAAGCATTTTGGATGATTTCTGTGAAATATGGAAAGAGCTGACGTTTGGCCAGTATCGGTGGATGGGACCTAACTGCTACATACATATTTATTCATGATCGTTACTAAAGTTATTCTCTAAAGTAATATTAAAGCCCCACGCTGGGCTGCTGGTAAATTTACCCTATGCACCGGCATCCCCTCCACACTGCATAGGATAAATGCTTGTTTGGGTGGTGTTCTTATTGTCTTAGACTGAGGGAACTGGACCAAAATGTGCATTAGGGAAGAAGGTGACACATTATTCCTTAAAGCCCAACTCTGGTAATGCCAGATGTGAATGAATCACAAAAGTGGCTTGACAGAATTATAAATCCTTTGTGAGATAAAACAATATGTGCACATCAACTGCATATTTAGCAGTTTGCTTGGAATGCATTGCCCATTGCGATACCATTCATTTTAAATGACGCCCCAACACACATGTGTTGCAGCATACCACAAAGCACAGATGGGTTGAGAAAAAAAAAACCTCTTGTTTTTGGAGCGTTGTAGTGTAGAAACAAATGGTCTGCCTTTATGTAATGTGTGGCATAACCTGTTCATGCACTTCCTGTTATGGTGTAACAGCTTTCTCTAAGTTGTGCTCCTATGTTGTACCCATGTTCCTCGGTGGTGACCACAAGCTGTTATGCTAACACGCATTGTGCGGACATGGTCCACTGATTACGCTATCAGGAAGCTGATCCAGAGTAGTGATGTGCAGTCAGCGCCTGAGTGAGCGCATGTAGACAGGAAGTGGTTGAAAGACGCTGAAGGGCAGGGTGAAAAAAAAATACCCATGACTTTTGTTTGACACGCGGTGCTTTAGCAAACTAAAAGTCACCCAGTCAGGGTTTAGATCTACATTAACTGCTACATGGAATTGTTATTGCAAGGGTTAAACCATTTCAACAGGCTCTCTGCATTGGATGTTCCAAGTTCTCACAAGTCTGAAGACTGTATCACTGGTTGTGTATTGCCTCTCTTACTGCTGGAAAGTGGCCCTTCTTAAATCTCTTCCAGTGAATGTTTATGTGAGCATTTGCCAGGGCAGTGCAGCTGATTAGATTACGCATTCGTTGTTCATTAACTAGAGTAGAGTTGAGTGTTGTGGTTTAAGTACACGCAGATTGGATTCCCAGAATATGGCAAATAATGTTTTTCCTAGAATCCTGATTACCATGGCTCCTGTGGACAGCGTGCACCTTGTTCAACACAGCCATTAAGGCTTTACTGAATGCAAGCTGTGACTTCTCTCCACGGTCTAATGTGACGAGGGGAAAAAAGGAATCCATGTACAGTAGGGATACACAACTTCAGTCCTTGAAGATTTCATGCAAGCTAAGTTAATGGGACAAAAGACAACAGCTGT